TCACCCTCATTCACACCATCACACCCTCCTCAGACCGTCGTCACTATCCCTCACCCTCTCACCCCACCCTCAACCTCACCCTCAATCTCACCCTCATCCTCACCCTCAATCTCATCCTCATTCTCATCTCCCGCGTTCCACAGACTGTATTCACCATCCTGGAGAACGATCCTAAGCTGGAGTTCCTGATCCGACCTGAAGAAGGCCGAGGCATTGTGTTCACAATGGAACCCCTTCAGGACGATAGCGTCTACCGCATCACGGTGCGAGCACGATCTTACGACAACTACCGCAGACATATACAATACCAGACCACGTTTATCATTCATATTTCTGTCTCCGCTTTCCCGTATTAATCAGTAACAACAACAAAACAAAACAAAAAAAGAAGAAAAAAAATCGCCTAGTAAAAGAGAAACGAAATCTTTGTTTGTTTTGGGGTTTTTTGGGTTTATTTTTTGTTTTCAATTTTCTCTTTTTGAAAATGTTTTTTTGTTTGTTGATTTGTTTTATTTTGATTTATTGATTCATTGATTTTTTTAAAGACCTACTATTAAAACTCACAAGATAATACATGTATTTTAGTACATGTAAGCACTCCTCATACTGCGAAAGCAAATCTTTTTTATGAGATTCTATGTATGATCAAGCTCAAATAAATCACTCACCGATCTTTAAATCGTTGTCATCTCGAAGAATTCAATAAAACATGATGATTGTACATACCAAAACGATTCGTTCTCGGAAAAGTTGTCTTGTGCTAAACACGCTGTTGATAGTTCTGTATGGTGGAGACTGTTCTTGAAGACCAAGATATTATTTTCCCTCGCCTCTCACGGTGTTGCGAATGATCATCACTATCTCCTGCCAGTAAATAGTTAATTATATATTATACTAGCTGGGTCTCCTTTCGATGAAAGGAATGATCAGTGCTTTAACATCAACTGAACGTATTTAGCCTACTATATTTTACACTCTACTCTAATGGCAAAATACATTTTGAGAGATGCAAAAAATTAGAAGGTCTAGATCTAGATCCATACCCTCAAAACAAAACGCGCATCGCGAAATATCACTTCCCACAACTATACAGATTTGTGTCGTTTCTCAGTGGAATAAGCACAAAGGTCAAAGAAGGGCGGGAACTTTTTTGTCAAATATATTTTTTATAAATTCAGAAAATGAAGAAATCAAAAATTGGGCTCCGTCATGGGGATCTATTTATCTTTTTGCAGGTGCTTGCCAACTTTCAACTCTGTAGCTGTCGTAGTTTTATGCGCAAAGTGACACATGTGTTTCCAAGTTGCCAAATATATAATAGATATCATTATAAACTGCAAAAGAAAAGAAGTGGGTGCGCTGTTAGCTCAGTTGATATCCTACCGGGTTGAGATTCAGATAGCTCAGGTTCAAATCCTCAGTTGGACGTTCTTGAACGTGGTTGTTCGGGAAGTTTTCAAAGCTCTCTGCCCGATTGCTAGGTTCTATCATAGATGAATATTAAATTTGGATTTCTCTCCTCTTTTATTAAATCACCAAATAAAATCGAAGGGGTCGTTAAAGCGGTACATTTTCATCTGAAGAATTAAGAGGTACGGAGACTTGGATATTGGCATCTTTTAGAAAGTACTTACTACTGTTATGTAACATGTTCACATTAAATCTTAATAATGAAGACGAAGAGTAACTCTGGGAGGAGAGAAGGAAATTTGTGTAAATTGCTTTTCCCACGTACACTACATCATAGGAGGAGACGTTGGTGGGGTTAGAACCCACGATCTTTAGTATGACCACTAGACCACTGACACCACAAAGACTGCGAAGATTTTGCCTGTGGAATTTACATGCTCATCACACAGTATACATTGACCATTAGTGGCATGTCGATTTATAGAGGCTTCAGTGCACCCTGTATGAAATTGACTTGTGCTTTGCTTCATCTTAATTTGGCTTGAAAGTCCCACTGATAATTTCATACTCCGAGCACAAATAAATGATATTAGGAAAACAACAAAATAATACGCCATTAGATCTGTGACCCAGAACAAAATTAATGTTGTGTTCAATTTTGGACGATTTAGTCATTGCGTCAAAATAGCAGCATTCGCTTTTCAATTGAGGAGAAAAAAAAGATGGCCATCCCAACTGTTTGTTTGTTTTAGAAAAGAGAAGTACATCTACATAAATATGGTCATTTACTGCTGGGAAAAAGTACGACAGACACACAGAAGCATCAGGGGAAACTAAAGAAAAAGGAACTACCAGTGGAGCCGTCCAACAACCCGATTGTCTCACACCTATCAAACTCATCAAACGTATTAAATGCAGAAAGAACAAAGCACCCAGTGAAGCAACAATTATTGGTGAGATGCCTGCCCAGAACAATTCTTTTTGGTGGACTCACGGGCACATAGAACAGCACCGATACTGCGCAGGCTCATTGTAACACAGTTATACGATATATGTGGGAATTCTGTAGGGCTTCTGGAATGTTCTGTTGAGACCTGTGTGGAGATGTGTGGTCTTTGACCAGCTGTGAGAGTGACGAGGTGAACCTGTAAGATATGTACCATAGCTCATTGTTGGTGTCACAGAGCCAATGTAGATACATCAAAGTATTTCTATCAACTGTGCTCTTAATTTTTTTCATAATCATTATTACTATGACTAAATTATAATTATTATTTCAACCTCCTGTCACTATTTTCATGTTTCATAATAAGTTGTTTAACGCAATCACTTTGTTTATGGCCATCATTTTGTGTAAGAAATGCGCTGTGCCTCATCAGAACCCCCCAAAACCGGCGTCTGTGGTATACCTGTTTGTCTTCACGCCGTTGCACGCAGAAGACGTGGGGTCGACTCCCTACGTGGAGGATTTAAAAAATAAAAAATAAATAGTGAAGCAGCATGGTGAAATCAGGCGCTCGTCAAAATAAAGAAAGTAAAGAAACTTACACCTTTCCGCTTGTTTGGCATTAAAACAAAAATCAAATTTGTGGGGTTTTATAGCTCAAAACCTTCTATGTCCATTTAAGAACAGATTTCAGTGTGAATTATACTGAAAAAACATTGATGAAAGGCATGGAAAAAGGTAAAATGTCAGTTTCCACGAACTCTTAGCCTTTGTAAATGTCCAAACTTTTGAGGGCCAATTTCTCACTAATTTTACTTCTGAAAAGGGCGATCCTACCTCTACCTCATCGAAATGCAAATATATCGACTTGTACTTAAGATAAATGGATAAGTCTTTCATTGAAATCAGTGCAAATGAACAAGCTTTGATGTTATACAAATAATAGCCTTACTTTCCAAAAAAAAAAATGACGAGTGCCTGATTCCACCTCGTCGAGACTGTTATTCTCTGCTGCCTGCTGGAACGAGTGCCTGATTCCACCTCGTCGAGACTCAGTTATTCTGTGCTGCCTGCTGGAACGAGTGCCTGATTCCACATCGTCGAGACTCAGTTATTCTCTGCTGCCTGCTGGAACGAGTGCCTGATTCCACCTCGTCGAGACTCAGTTATTCTGTGCTGCCTGCTGGAACGAGTGCCTGATTCCACCTCGTCGAGACTCAG